ATAGCTCTATCAGTTCTAAACTGTTCTTCCTTGAGGTCCAGTATGGATCATCTCTTATTGATCCAACTTTAGTTATACTGGATATCTTTATCTTCTAACTGTTCTCACTAGAGGTAAGGTTTTCTCGTAAGGTGCATTCCGTATTGGTCCAGTATTACTACAATAGGAAACCGAAGTTTCAGTGGAAGCATTCTTATGAAGGTGAAATTATAATCAGACATTTGCATGCTGCAGGAATGACGTCACAAATGTATTACCAACATCAAAATAAGAAATGAATTTTAATTAACGAAAGTGCGCATTTTATTCGCAGGCCAGTAGTGACACACATCAGTCCCTTGGTTCGAGAATGTTTGCAAGACAGCAGCTCGACAATTAAAGTGAACGCGATCAAGGCTCTGCAGGAACTCGCGAGAGTTATGTATCATGCGGTATCAGTGAACGGGGAGGAAGATCTCAGGGCTACGGTTTGTGAGTTTTGGTTAAGTCTTCTTAAAGGTGACATTGTGAAAATTTTACAATCAAAAGATCCGTTGGAAAGCAAAACTAAATCCGCGGCTTGTGATTGTCTTTCTGATATTGGTGCCGGGATTTTTGAGGAACTGACATTTGACAAGAGAATCTTGATCGTGACTGTCTTACTGGGGCTGCTTAACGATGAAGATAGCTATGTCAGGGTATGCAAAAGTTTAGTTTGTTCTTAGTTATACAATTATACTGGGTGTCCAAAAAAAGTGGACGCTGTTTGATTTCATGTAACGTAAAAGCTATAAAAGCTATCGCAATTGCATTCAGAAATGATAAAGTTAGATTTTGATATATAGCACTTGAATTTACATGCAATATTGACTGCGCTATTGATGTTTGAACGTTGGACTACTGTTTTTGAAAATGCAAAATATTAGCATAAAACAACCTTATAATTACCGATGTAGTTATTGCATGTAAATTCAAGTGTTGTATTTCAAAATCTGGGTTGGTCCTTTCTGAATGTAATGATCTTTATTTCATTGCGAGTTTTTACATTACATGAAATGAAACAGTGTCCAGATTTTTTTGGGGGACACCTGGTATGTAAGTATAGGTCAATAAAGTAATTAATCAATTAGTTATGTGTGATTGTTAGGCAGCATCCCTACGGGCTCTTGGAGTCTATGTATTATATCCAGGGTTAAAAGAAGACACAGTGTTTGTCACAGACACAGCCAACGCAGCTCTGAATGGCTTGAATGATGCTGTCCTGTTAGTGAGAATGCGAGCTGCGTGGTCCTTGGCTAATCTCAGCGATGCATTGGTCATTAATAAGTGAGTAGAGATTATTATAAAGTAATCAGGAAAATTGGAAAATTGCGGCCCTGCAATTCCGGTGCAGCGCTCTAACCAACTGAGCTACAGAAGCCCAGTTGTCAAGCTCTAACCAACTGAGCTACAGAGAGACAGTTGTCAAGCTCTAACCAACTGAGCTACAGAAGCCCAGTTGTCAAGCTCTAACCAACTGAGCTACAGAAGCCCAGTTGTCAAGCTCTAACCAACTGAGCTACAGAGAGACAGTTGTCAAGCTCTAACCAACTGAGCTACAGAGAGACAGTTGTCAAGCTCTAACCAAATGAGCTACAGAGAGACAGTTGCCGAGCTCTAACCAACTGAGCTACAGAGAGACAGTTGTCGAGCTCTAGCCAACTGAGCTACAGAGAGCCCAGTTGTCGAGCTCTAGCCAACTGAGCTACAGAAGCCCAGTTGTCAAGCTCTAACCAACTGAGCTACAGAGAGACAGTTGTCAAGCTCTAACCAACTGAGCTACAGAGAGACAGTTGTCAAGCTCTAACCAACTGAGCTACAGAGAGACAGTTGTCAAGCTCTAACCAACTGAGCTACAGAGAGACAGTTGTCGAGCTCTAACCAACTGAGCTACAGAGGCCCAGTTGTCGAGCTCTAACCAACTGAGCTACAGAAGCCCAGTTGTCAAGCTCTAACCAACTGAGCTACAGAGAGACAGTTGTCAAGCTCTAACCACAAGTTCATGTTGGCTTGCGTGGAATAAAAATCAAACATGAACATTGAAATGATTTTTCAGGAATACGAAAGACTTGACGTTTGTTCGTGAGTTCTCGGAAAGTCTGGTGCTACGCTTGATCAATGCCTCGTTAGAGGCGAGTGACGACAGTGAAAAAGTCAGATGCAATATTGTAAGAACCCTCGGGAATTTGACAAAATATCTCGGCGAGGAAAATATCGAAAAGAAAAGCTTCTTAGTTGCAGTTGAAAAAGTTTATGAAGTTTTATCAAAATGCATTTTAAATGGACAAATGAAGACAAGATGGAATGCGTGTTATGCTGCCGGAAATGTCTACAGCAACCTAAGCTTACCAAACGGAGAAACGACAGCATCAATCCAGATGCTAGGTGCACTGCTTTCTGTTGTAAACAGCTGCAAAAATTTTAAGGTAGGGGCATTTTACACATTTCACACGGTGAATGTTTAGAAAATAATGGTACGTGGGTTTTACTGAGCACCATCGTTAAGCAGATGCTGGTCAACCTGCAGTTATCAGAATGAGGGAATAATGTTCATTCTTTTAAGATTCGTAGTCTTGTATTTGATGACAAACACATAGAATTGAGAGATAGAGTTTAATTCACCATAGATGTAGATTTTCACTTTCGTTCCCAGGTTCGTATCAACGCGGTGAATGCTCTGGCAGTGCCTACTTCACGTCGTTGCTATGGTGACGAAGAGGAATTCAAGAAAGTTTGGAAATGTCTTACGGAAACTTTGTCAGGAACTGAAAGTATTTCTGACTTCTCAGAATTCAAATATCGTGATAACTTAAGAGAACAGGTCAGTTTTGTTGTTGTTGTTGTTATAATAATAATAATAATGGTATTTTAATAACACATCATCGCATGAAAATGAATTACAATGTGTTTTACAATTGAATTGAATGGGAATTACAATACTAAAAGTAACTATATTACAATATATCATTAGATTATTAAATAAGAACTTATAACTAAGAACAATTATTTGTTTAAAACACTAATCATGCTAGGGAAAAACTATTACCAAATCTATCAGTTCTACATTTAAAAGAAGCGAATTGTTTAAAATTCCTTAAATTATACACATGTTCGTTCTCAGTGGTGAGAGTTAGATGGGAAGAAAGACGACTGCCCAATGCAATATTTTTCATCGTCTTTTCGCAAAGTTCACCTCGACGTATATCCAGCCTAGGACACTGTTGTTGTTGCTGTTGTTGTTGTTGTTGTTGTTGCTGTTGCTGTTGTTGTTGCTGTTGCTGTTGTTGCTGTTGCTGTTGCTGTTGCTGTTGCTGTTGTTGTTGTTGTTGTTGTTGTTGTTGTTGTTGTTGTTGTTGTTGTTGTTGTTGTTGTTGTTGTTGTTGTTGTTGTTGTTGTTGTTGTTGTTACAAACAATATCATACTGTATCTTTTCTTTAGATTTGTACGACCATCTGTCATATTACGTCATTGACTGACATCAAAGATTTGAGAAATATCGTTCCAACCATTCAACTACACCAGAAAGACTTGACACAACATCTGACAAACTTGTATCAAAAACAGTTGAAGCAAGATAAAGAATCATGCATTAACAATGATGAAGTGACTTTAACAGCGCCAGGCAGTAAGTGTTTATAATTTATAATATTTGTCACATAGTTCAGACACAAACCACGACAGCTTATTGTAGAATACTACCTACACTGGACCACCACGTTTGAGATATCTTTTTCAGCTTGTTCAGACACAAACCACGACAGAATACTACCGACATTGGACGTTACAAATACATACACATTGATGTTTGTGGTGTTACTCTGAGTGTATATCCACACCAGGCGAGCTTGAAAAATAGGCCCGGCCACGGTGGGAATCGAACCTACGACCTGGGCTAGTATTCCAAAGGTCGTAGGTTCGATTCCCACCGTGGCCAGGCATATTTTTCAAGCTCGCCCGGTGTGGATATACACTCAGAGTAACATCACAAACATCATATTATTCAAACCCTAACATTCTAATATTATTCACCTGAGTACACAACAGCAACACAGAAAAAAAACACAAAAAAACCCATTATAAGAATATATTTTTGTGTATCTTTAAAGATCCACCGTTTCTGGTTGCATATGGACATATTATGGCAATGCCTGGGGAATCTCGAATTATTCAGAATATTTATATTGAAGCAAAGAACTGCGCCGAGACCGCACTGAAGGATGAAATGGGGATGTGAATACAGACATGCATAATGAGATCAGTGGATGGGTATGTTGCTTATAGAAAATAAAGTGAAGTTAAACTTATTATACCAGAATACGGTATGATGATCTAGCTAGAATAGTGCAACGTGTACTGGTAATGATCCTGGAAAGAAATCTTACCTGCTGGTATTTTCGGATCATGACTGCATTATAGCTAGCGTACAATCATAGACAATCCAGAAGACACATGTCTTCTGGATTGTCTATGGTACAATGCAGCAATGTTACTCCATACTTCCATCAAAGTACTACCAAATTGAAGATGTGGACTTACAATGCAGGCCAACTCCAGAAATTAATTTGGAGCTACTTGTAAGCAGCTCTAAAAATCATTGACTATACCTTCCCAGAAATAAAAATCTACAGCATACACCTGCCGTGTATACCTATATATATGCATGTACAGACATACAACGAGTGTTTCTCTTCGTAACATTTTTCAATTATTTAAAATGGCGGTCAGTCGGGCATGTTTAAAAAGACAAATTATCCATCAGCTTTTTTAAAACGATAACTGCGTAAAAGTTAAACTTAATTGTTTGTGCTACAAGGTAAGTTCATATATCAACGTTTATTTTATAAATTTCATACAAATTGTTATCGTCTTCAACTAGGGTTAAGGGTTATCTATTATTTATTTATATTATCTTTGTCTGTTAGACTACTAACAACAATTGAGAGTTAGTCGATTAGCGTTTGAATTTTGTTCAACATGAACTTTTAGTAGTTCCATTTATTGACGCCAAACACTCGTTCCCCTTTCGTCGCGCGGCTATGAAATGCTGGCAACCTCTGCAGCCTTCGGGCGCTTCTAGTCTCTCTACCAACACTTTCCAAATGTTCAGTTAATTCTCGAACCAGCAACAACTGCACCGTGCAATCCTTGGCACTGAAACGAGGCCGATACAGCGAGTCGTTGCCCCGACGAACATCCATTGCCGAGGCCCTCTCGCCGAGAATTTTCCGTCTTTGTCGGCGGAGTTCATCTAATGACTCTCTTCTGGGAACAAAATTTGATTCCTCTTCGTAAAAAGAGTTTGTACTGCTTGATCTAGTCACGGGTGGGTCTCTGTAAGTAAAAGTCGTTGGCCGTATACTGTGGGCTTGAATTGTGGAGTTTTTGTCGTGTTTTGATGTGCTTTCATTCTCAGTTTCGTCTTTTTTAACTGTCACCTGTATCTTAGTGATAAATGGATAATGTGTTTTCGGCCTGGGCTTCACTTCATCTTTTTCTATTGGCCCTAATCTGCCTCCTGTAGTTGCTGCTCGCTTCTGTAAAAGGCCCTCCGCCATGTCGAGTACAGTCTAGGTGGAATTATTTACTTCGTGACTTTTGTTGAGTTCTTTGCCTACTGTCAATGTCAAATTCTCAAATACACATCTGCAGCAAATCTATATATAGTGGTAAAATGCAAATTAAGTCGAAACAGCATGAAACTTAGGTAGGAAGAAATTAATCACGCAGTCATTTGTACTGTATTGCGCAGTCTTTGAAGTACAGTATACTTTTCATTAGCCTATATGCAATTTTCTTTTGTGTCGTAGACTCGTAGTCATTAGTTCAACAGTTGAACTTCAACTCCAGTTACTCAAGCCTACGTGTCGCTACGGTTGACGTGGAAAACCAGGCTCAACTCTTCACAAAAATGTCTCCAGTCCGAAACAAGAATCGAACGTACGATATCAGGCTACGTTCCACTATACCGAATAGCTTTGCATAGCGGCGCGGAAAAGCACCTATCCAATACGGAATGTACAACTTTCAGAAGCTGAGCGAAACAACATCTCTCCGTTGCAATAATTCCTCTGAAAATAGCGTTCCTAAGGTATGGATAAGTGTTTTTTCACGTCGCCACGGAAAACTGTCCGATATATAGTGTATAAACGTAGCTTCAGTCTCTCAGAAGTGGAACACATGCAATAGGTCTGTCGATACAGAAGCCCTATTGGATTTTAAGATATTTTATAAATAAACAAGACCTTTATAACATGTTGAAACATAGTAAGGAAGGTACTATTTCTATCCTAAACTGAAATTATATCTTCCGTGTTTTATCAAAATTAAATATCCGAATATCTTTAACATTTTACGATTTCATGATATATTATATACATGTATGCATTATAAGGGAAACGATAGTAATATATATAGTCAACATAAAGTTGACTAAAAGTAAATATTATAATTTGAATATTATGTGTTAAAATTTAAAATTATCTACGTTATAAAATACACATTAGGAACATTACCTGGAACTTTTTCAAAATTCATTTGGAGTCGTCAACAAGTCTTTCCAGCCATGTGGACTCATATAAGCCGACCCTTGACTGTTGTTATGGACAAATAGTAAACTTAAGTTTTAAACATTGGAGCCATCTGCAGCCCTAATTAAATATGCGTACCTGTTAGCGTCTTGAATAATTTATAATGTATGCGACGTAATTACTAATGAGAAGCACCGCTATAATATCAGTGTTAATTCGGGCACAGCTATTACTGTACGAAAGAACCGCTTCAAAAAAGTGAAATATCTGGATCCAGCAAGAAGATTGAGGAATATACTGCTTAATCTGTCATTTGAAACATAAATACTGAGGCGATTTATACATAATGGCGTAATGTCAAATTTTGCAGTGTTTTTACGCAGTTTTAAGGAACACTAAGAAAGGCAAATTCAGCATCTGAGGAACATTAAACACTTTTTAGGCTTGCTTTCATTTCATATTTCTAAGGCCGAAAAGCTGTCTAATTATGATCCATGGTGTGAAATTATTTGCAAAGTTTTAATTAGTATTTTCGCTGCCTTTGAAGGTGACTTAGAAATTGAGTAATTATAAGCTATTGTGCTTCTGCGTCAGCTGCGATCTTTTCGTAGCCATTCGTTAATTTTTTTATGAGAAATAGGCAACGTCAGAACTCCCTTTACAAATGCCAGAACTCCCTTTACAAATGCCAGAACTCCCATTTCAAATTTAATTCTTAAAAATAACCTTTATAGAAAAATATATATATCCCTTTGCAATAAAATTTGTTTATATTTAAAAAAGATTTAGTTAACCGTTGAGTTATATCACAGAATCATCCTCACAGACATGAAAAATTCTTTTCTGAAAGTGATGCTGCATTTGAGCGCATACAGTATAACTTTCCCAAACCCAAAATCTATATATATATATTTGTGTTTTTACATTAATAGTATATTTCACCAATCTAGTGCACGTTTTGTAGTATATATCTTGATGATATATCAATGTTTGAGATATGTTAAGTTCTTGCTATATAGATCCTTCTCCACTTTATATTTCAGCCCTAAAACAGACAGAAATGAAGAAATTAGGAGAAATAATGCCAAACAGTTTATGAAAGTTGCATATTCAGCTTTCGCAAGTGACGTCGACATGAGTCTAGGCCCAGGACCTTTTACTCCGTACCCCCAAATTGCCTTGGTTCATAAATGGTCATAAATAGTGTTGTATTTTATATTTACCTTATTCGACGGACATCGTCCTGGGTCAAAGCGAATATTATCAATTCCAATAATCCCTGTAAGCCCTGCCGATAACGTCGCTTCAAACACGATCTAATGTTAAACGAAAGAGATTATTGAGAATGCTTAACATCATTATATCTCGAAATGAGTACGTTCTCTGGTTTCCTTCAGTAGTAACACTCTACAAACAAGGAACGTTTCTTACTGGATCTCTGAAGAGAACAGTTACTAAATGATAGTGCTATTCAGTGCAAAGAAAATTAATTTAATTTTAGGTTTAATTTGTAATAACACTGTTCAATATGTATAAAATTGTTTGCCTAAAATGTTACCTTGTAAGACTGGCTTATTTGGAAATCTATTTTCTCTTCTTTCCAACTTTCTGTCACCGACAAATACCGTTTCGTTCTCGTCACTTGTGCATTTCCGTATCGCACAAGCCACTTGATACGGAGTCTTGAATATGCTCCTTTGCGACTCAGCTTGTAGGAAAATGAAAGACAAGCTCTGGCAATTTTCACCTCAGGGCTTGCAATGGAGCCCACTTTAATCCCTTTTTGTCGACTTGGACGAATTCGCAGATAATATCCTGTGAGAATGTGAAGTTTTTTTATTATACTTGGTAGAGTTTCAGACATGTTTTGCCACCCCGGTTCAAGTCTTGTTGTAGACAACTACCGTCATTCAGTTACGCCATGTGCCATGCTTCAGGGTCATTACGATATTGTTCAAAAGACCTCCTCCAATTAGATGGAGGTTTTCTAAACAACAAAGCAATTCCATTGTTCTGAACACAAAACAGTTGGGGCCTGTAAGAATTACTGTTCCGAAAAGCTGGGTATTATCTGACGCTCTCAAGCAACGCTTAAGTGCCAGAACTTGTCCAAGTGAGAGTTACAAGTCATTTTAAAACTTTACTGCTCCCTATATTTGCTTACCTGTTCCTCCTTCTCTTTGCCTCAACCAGTTCAAGTCATTACCCCGGATGTTCTGGCTGCTTTTTGCCGCCAAATTCCTCCAGTGACAAAAGTTTCTGTTGAAATCACAGTTTAAAGGACTTCTAGATCTTGTTGTAGTGGTTCTCGTGATCGTCCTCGTGATTGTTGATTTTGGTCTGACAGGTTGCGGTGTTTGACCTTGGCGCCTTCCTGTGGAAACAACACAGTTCCCTTTCTTGCCATCTGTGAGGATGTTGTCACAACCTAGAGTCTAAAATATAAAAGAACAAACTTGTTATTGTTTTTCTTCATTTTCATCTATCTTCCTTTCTTCCACCCATTTTTCCTCTCCTTCTCCCCCCTCCTCCTGGCTTTCTCTTTTCTTCTTCTCTTCATTTCTCGTTTCCCTCTTTCACTCCTCCACTCTTCTTTTCTTCACTCTTTTACTCCCTCCCATCCATCTTTCCTCCTTCCCTATCCTCCCTTTATTCCTTCTTCCCTTCCTTCCTTTCTCTTCTCCCCTTCCCTTTCTTCACTCCTCCACTATTCTTCCCTCTCTTATTCATTTCCGTAGCCTTTCTTTCTTCCCCATCCTCCCTTCCTTTCCCTTCATTTTCCATTCCTTCTTTCACTCATCTTTTCTTCCCTCACATCCTCCCTCCTCCATCCATCCCTTTCTCCGATCCCTCCATCTTCCCTGCCTTCCTCCTATCCTCCCTTCCACCCCCTCAATTCCCTTCCTTTCCCCCTCTTCCTCCCCTCTTGCATCCTCCCTCCCTTTCTTACCAACGTCTCAATACCTTGCATATTCCTCGATAACAAACCCCAGTTGTGGTTTTTGTGGAACAGGTTGTTCCATCGTACACATGTACAGGAAACATAATTCGTGTCGGACTTTTCTTATCGCTCGTTATACATTTTATCTTGCAAGGATTCTCTTCAACTAAGCGTGAGGAAAATACAAAAAAAAACATTCTTGAAACTGCCTTCTGTAACACTAAGAATAGTGGTATCCAGTCAAGATCCAGTGATCGGAATGTTCCATTCATGCTGTATATATTACAAATGCCACCACCTTACCTTCCTTCTGTGTGGTACTTGAGCTAGAACATAAACCAGATCTAAATGTGATGTCGTCCAAAGCTATATCGCTCTTATATCCAGCACCTTTTTTCTTCGCCAGGAACGAAAGCTGGTAGAAAATGTAATGAGACATATTCAATATCTCAGCAAAATAAAGTAGGGATAGCTCTATCAGATCTGAACTGTTCCCCCTAGAGGTCCAGTAGGAGTCATCTCATATTCATCCAGTGTTAAGGGTAAACATAAACTAAACTAAACTAACTAGGATAGCTCTATCAAACTGTTTTTCTTAGAGGTCCAGTAAGTGCTATATATGCTCATGTTTTACCTTGTATGGACTATAATTCTGCACATTAATCTTGTGACGATACCATCGGTTCCCTTTGTTGCCAGACATTCTCCACAAAACGGTTGAAACTCCTCCAGTAAATTTAACGACTTTAAGTTGACCCATTTTGTTGTCTCCCCACATGTGATAAGAAAATTCCAAACAACCTTGACGAATTTTGATAAAAGGACTCGACAACACGGCTTTTGCTTTCGTTGGTGTTGAAGCCTCGAAGTAGATGTATTGACCTATGACATGTTTTTTGGGAAAGCATCAATAGTTATGCTTAAACGTAAACTTTTGACAACTTGAGTACTGCACTCTGTCTAGTTGGGGAGGGATGTGTGACACAGTGGTGGTTATACTGGTTAGTTCATGTGTCGTTCATCTTTGCGATAAGTTTCTACAATGTGAAGTTGTTTGATTATTATTTCGCCTCTGTCCCTTCCTTTA